GAACAAAAACTTTTCAGTATTTCCAGAAAATCGCCTGGAAGGAGAAAAGGAAGCAATAAATGAAGATGACAAAAGAGTCGAGGTGATGATAGGATTTTCCCATTATTTTAAAGCTTTACATCTTTTGTATTGCCTGGTTGTCTTAAGAACAAATCATGTAATTTACTTCTCGACTAAAGAAGAAATGATCGTAAGAAATGTATATTTTCAGGGCACCTTGGTGGCTTAGTCAGTTAAACATCTGACTCTTGGTTTTGGCTCAGGTCATGATATCACAATTTGGGAGTTTGAGCCCCATGTTGGGCTCTGTGCTGGAAGTGCAGAACTTACTTGGATTCTCTCTCTTCCTCTCTCTCTCTCTGCCCCTCGCCTGCTTGCTCTCTCTCTCTCTCAAAATAAATAAACTAAAAATAAAAAAAATAAAAAACTGTATATTTTCATAGTAAGCTTCTTTAAAACTTTTCTTTTTCATATTCTCAATGAGACAAGTGATTAAAGCATGGCATAGGAGGGAAGACAATGCCTTCTAGTTGGGAGACCTGTTCGATGTTCGGTCTCATTACCATTCTGAGCCTCAGGATCTCATCTATAGCATTTCAAGCTATTAGAGAAGAGCTAGCTTGAGCCATCCAAATCATGGTTCTTTTTCTTGGATTCTACCATAATCTTGCTAGGTTTTCTGAGGGCTTCTCACCTCCTCATGAAGGACGTAGTTCAAATTACAGTGGAAGAAAGAGAAGGAAAGCAAAGCAGCACACATAGAACACATACAAACTAAAACAGACAAAACAGTTGCCCTACCCAAGTAACGCAGAGAGAGAGAGCAATTGAAAAAAGAGTAATCTAGTCAGTCATTTCAGGTAGATGATTGACTGGTTGATTCATTTGTTCATCCAACTCTTATAGAGTACCTACTATGGGCCAGACACTTCTTGAGGGACTAAGGCAGACAAGGAGCCTTCATTCATGGAATTTACATTTTAGAGGGATGAGAGAAACAATAAACAAGTAAATGCATAGCTGAATGATTTAATTATTTATTATACAAAGAAGTATGAAGAAAGCAAAATCAGACACTCTGATAGTAAATGGAAGGGGGCTAAGTTAAGTCAGCCTGTGTCTTTACAGAGAGCTTCACCATTCAGTCAACATTGATTTGGTATCTGTGAGGCACTGGTATTGACACCCATTGATGACTGTGTCTTTTACCAAAAGTTCTTCCCCTGGTTTCCCGATGGAGTTCCATTTCTATGATAACACCTGAGGTGCTGTCCTTCATTAGTCTCCATCTACAGGCTAAGGCATGTGACTGGTATCTACTCCTCAAGACTGCTGGGTCAGGTGAGATCACATGAGGTCATATACAGGAAATTGTTTTATAAAGTCTATTGGGCAAATATTTATTATACACCTTCTATATGTCAGCCATGCATCAGTGAATCACACACACACACACACACACAGCCCTTATAGGGTTTACATTCTGTTCAAAGATATATTATGATTCTTCAGTTTCTTTTTTTAACAAGAGGCAAACTTAACGCCAGATTTTCTATAATGAAACCTTTTTTGGGGGCTCTATTAATTTGAGATTTCAAAAATTTCCAAAGAAAATACTCATTGTATTTATTCAGAGGTATTTCTACTCAACATTCTGGCACCTTTCACGTTTGCTTTATTCTTAATCAGGTTCAGTCACCAAGGGAAGCGAGGTATCTCTATTTCAACTTGATCAGTTAGCTTTTTATATTCCTTGCCTTCTGGCTTATTTCAAGATTTTATTTACCCAGAATCTGTCTATTTCTGAAGTTATTTATTAGACTATAAGCGGGCATGAAGCTATCTCTTCCACATGCCTTACAGTTCAATCCACTACCTCAAACAGCTAGGTGGGTCTATTTATCTTTCCTATCTTTAATGCATTTCAGCAGACTAAGGCATATTGGTTGAAGATGTAGAAACATACATCTTATGAGAAAATGGGTCGGCTTAACATCTTCCACTTTGAGATGGGCATTCTGCCCAAAACATTCACAGCAATAAAATTATTCCTTAGCTTACAATGATTAATGAGAAAAAAGTGCCTCTTTACCTCAGCTAAATCCCACAGATGACAGAGCAAATAGAAGAGAAGAAATAAAAGTTGTTCATGGATTTTTCATGACTCAATAGAGGTTAGAAAAACCAGAAACCAATGGGATGTAGAATCTCCTCTTTCTAGTAGGTGAAAGAACTTCATGCCACTACTGACACGGAAACTTCCCGTACATAAATGAACAACACTCACGTTTTCCTAGGTACATGGTATTCAGGGAGGAAACGGAATCCAGTTTTTAAACACTTACTCCGCGATCTGTGCTCATGATTTTCTGCAGTGGAAATGACTTCAGGGAAATAAAATTAACACTATATTGTAGGATTCCCTTGAAAAGTGTTTTTGCTCACTTAATCATAAGAGAACACATAGTTTCAAATGAGAAAAGGGAAACAGATAAGAGCTAAAAAAATATCGGATGCAATAGTTAAAAAAAATTTTTTTAAATGAGAAGACAATTAGTTTATCTTCCATTGATTCAAATCCCCTATATTTTTTCTCCAATTGTAATGAAGGAGGCTATGAAAAATGATGAAATTCTCCCTAATTTATATATATTTTAATGGGTGATACATTCATAGTAATTTGTTACTGGTAAGAGATCCCTTTTGGAGATTACAGTGTGATCAGTCACTTTCAGATTCTGGCTGGGAGGTTGTATAGCCTCTAGGAAAGGCCAAACAGGTGCCTGACAAGAAGAAACAGTGGATAAGGACTGGGGTGGTAGGCACATAGGAAAAGGGTGAAGTGAAAAAAATAATTCAGACAAGGATCTTTTATTTCAGACGACGGTACGTTTTTGTAGTGTATTTTTTTTTTGAAATGTCACTTTCTAATTTTATGTGTCAAGCTAGGCTGCTCTGAGCTTATCTAGAGCTTGTCTAGGTGCACACAAGAAGTTTTTCCCTTTATTTATTTATTTATTTAGCCATCTCACCTATTTTCTATCCAAAGATTGTTTGACTAGACAATGAACCCATGACCAGCAGATACGTGATTACAAAACATTACCTTTTAGCTATCACAGCACTGGTTTTGCTGTTATTTTTACTTCTGTGATAACCACTGTATTGAAAGGCTGCAGATTATGCCCAAGGACAGAGTTGTTGCTGAATGAGTTAGAGATTAATCCATCTGAGGCTCTGTAAAATTCAGTTCAGAAACTTCTGGCTTTAAGTTAGAATATTTTTTCTCTTTCAGAGGGCTTTGAGCAAATTTTTCATACTCAAGTACAATAATGAGACCTTACCTGTCAAAGACAGAAAATTCTGCTTCATTTAGTAGGCTCAAGAGAGGAGGCTCTCTGAACTTGCTTTAGCATCCAGCTGGAGAGAGTCAGGATTCAGTAGAGCAGCATCTGGGCTACTAAGGGGGTTGGGGAGCATTTTGGGGCGGTTCCTCCTAAGGACTAAAATACTGCTTGCTCAAAGAGTTCTATGATAGCAGGGTCAGGGGGAAAGCAGACTGAGAGTAAGGAATCAATTCTCTGCAGCCAGAAACTTCTATCTCCTGCTGACAAATGCCAGGCTTGGGAATTACTGTTAAGCATGGCTTGATCAATGTTTTCTCCATTTCCTCCCATTATAATTAAATATGAAAGGAGTTGTAATACCTGCTTAAGGATATTGGGTTCCAGATTAAGATGCTTATGACATCTGACTATTCAAAAGATGCTTCTGGGCCAAAATGATTTCTGTGAGAATGTAGTAAGAGGCTAAAGCAAAGGGCGATTTCCAATTTTTTCTCTTTGCTTCATTTTGTGGTGTGCTGGTGTAATGAGGCCAGAATATCTTCGTCACGTCAATGCCATTAAATGGAACTTTCTGTGGTAATGGCAATGTTCTGTATCTGCACCGTACGATATGGTAGCCAGTAACCATATGCGTCTATTAAGCCCTTCAAGGTGGAAAATGTGATTGGGAAATCAATTTTATATATATTTTTTAATTTTAGCTAATTTAAATTTAAATAGCTACATGTTGCTAGTGGCTACCCCCTTGACAGGGAGATCTGAGAGACGGAACGAAGCCATGGGTGCCGCATTTATCTTCATTGACTAGAATTCTTAGACGCCAGAATCAGAATTAAAATGTCACATAGTGTTGCCACTGCACAAAAATGACGCTACTTTGCCTTTTACCTTTAAACCAAGGGAGGAGTGTACATTTTCAGATAGGGTAGGCAATTTAGGGACTATGCTTTCACGGATGATTTTCCTTCTCCTATTCTCTGTAGGCAATGGATCTCCGAATCATGTGAAGGGAAGCACTTGCCCTGCAGAAGACATATCGTGACACTCAGTAGTGATTGAACGCAAATTGTCAGAAAATTGCCATGTCTCAGCCTTGTTCTGGATTCAACTTGCTCTCTCCAACAGGCCAGGAGGACTGTCTAGGTGTTAGATGAGAAGAATGCAGGGAAGGCTTCAGGTGTGCTGGGTTCCTTGCGTTGCAGTTGCATTTGTAATTGAATGCCAAATAGCAGATCTTCTCATGTCTTTCCCCCCCCCCCGATCATTTTATTATTCCAGTGGGTTCTGTTACATGACTTTTTGTGTCCGTGTTTTAACTATATTATGGCAAACCAAAGTGTCACTTCAGATCAAGAGCCGACCATGTCGCTCTTTCAGGATGAAAGGGAGAACGTAGCCTCTCTTACTCTCATGAAGATACCAACACTTTTTCATAGCACATCATTTATACTACGGCAAGAAAAAAATGCAAAAATGTGCAAATATAAATATGAGCTATTGAAATGAGTTTCTATTTCTATGAACAGTTTTAGTTATGTACTTTCATAGCTATTCACAGCATTCTGGCATTATCCAGTGACTGAGGCGTGCGTTCCATAAGAGATAAATGTGGCTTTTACAAAAGAATTATGGCGATTTAGAATGGCAAGCACCATGGGAGCTGACGGTTTGGCTTTTTCACCCCTGTCCTTGCTGCCATCCTCAATGTCCCTGTTGCCATGCAGAGACGATCCTGTTACATTGTATCGAAGCGCTGGCGGTAGTTCCCCAGGGCTGACTGTGCATCATTTCCCGACTCCGTGTTCAATGTCATCACGTTGGGAGCTTGAAATTGGCCACATGGCAGGTATTTGTACCAAACAATTGTAAAGCTCTACACATCAAGGTTGTTTTATTTTGAGACAGCGGATTGTTAGACACTGACGAGCATACCCCTAGACATGGAGGTGACCGGCTTGATTTTTCCACCATTAATTATAATACGGAAAGAGAAGTCATGGGAATAAGAGATAACTGTGTCCCCTTTCCAATCCTGTCTCCTCATTTCCACTGACAATTTTCTATATGGCAATGAAGGGGAAATAATGTGCCGGTCAAAATGTGCCACACTCTGTACAGCCTTTATGGTAAGCGTTGGAGAATTATTTCAGAGGCTCTTACGTAAGTAGAGCCCCCAGTGTGAGGTGTTGAAAGAAATTCATAGCTGAAATGAAAGCATCACAAAGCTGCAGATAAGCCTCGTCACTGACCCATCTCATTTAGGATCCTCCAATCATTACTGAAGTTGCAAATCCTACCACGTTCCTGAAGAACATTGAGATGACTAACAAAAATGGGTTTGTACCAGAGCATACAAATTAAACCCTGCAGGATTTTATGGTGGAGTTCAACAACACCGAAAAGCAAATATACCCCCTTCCCAGTAATAAAGTTAGGGTGAAGTTCATTGTATTGTACGCAAGGCTAAGTGTTCCTTCCTGACTGTTACGTATGGCTCACTACTGCCTATAATTTTTGTCTCAATTCTAGTTGCATGTTTTTCTGCCGTTGGATTTTTCTGTGTTGACACAAACTACAATCTTCCTCTGGACTCAGGAAATAAAGCGAAGAGGAAAGTGGGAAAATAAGAGACTTTAGCAAAATTAATAGAATCACAGACCTGTGAAACGTTCACCCCTTCTGTTCCGTGTCCTTCTGGTTGCCTTCCTTCTACAAATGTTTTCCTAAGTAGAAAGTCCGGTCAATTTAGATATACAAAATATGTAAAATATTGTCAGCCTAAAAAATTGCCCTCTAACCCCTTCCTTTTTAGACAGATGGTAGCTACCTGTGAGCTACTATAGTGCCTAGAGCTGTTGAATTACTATGTCGTACACCTGAAGCTAATGTAACATTGGGTGTCGACTATACTTTGAGGAAAACAACAGCATTACTCTGGAGATGTTTTTTTACAAGAAGGAGGTGAAATTACACTCAAGATGTCCGAGTGAGTTATTGCCACACTTCGTACTAAAGAGGACTTGATCATTTCCCCCTCTCCTGTCTTCATTTTGAGCTTTACGTAATTCAGCACACGCTCCCCTCTTGTGTCCCCTAGTTCTCCTTTCAATTAACCAGATCCTAAAACTCATGTTTTCCAGAAAATTTGGAGAGAAAGCATCAGGCCAAGTTACCTACCTTTCCTAAATGTATTTCAGAAAAGCACCTTTCTTCCGCTACTGACCACAGAGAATCTTTCTAATGTTCCTCAGCACTTCCCCGCATGAACTTCTACAACGGAGGACAAGCATATTGGCCAAAAGATTTTTGGGATGAGAGTGTGTTCAGGAAGACGCAGTGCCAAATTGTGAAAGCTGTCTGGGTGGATAGATTAGGAATGCAGGCAGCCCTGAAAGAAAGTCTCTTCGGAAGATTTTTTTCTCTGCAACGAGAATTCTGCTGCAGGTGAGCATCGGCATACGGCAAAATGATAATCCTGTAATGCTGGTTCTCCCGTGTGGGTAAGCAGGGTCACAGATAAACGCGACTCCAAGTTCCCCTTGTCACGCAGACGTCCACACGTTTCAGAAAGCAATCTACTTTCTGGAGAGTCTGGCAATGCAAACAGTCTCACTTCAAGTCAAATCCAAATGGTAATGAGTTATCCTTCAGTGCCTCGTTTCAGAGCACATCTTAAGAGACTAAAGGAAAGGCAGAAGGAAAGAAAAGAGCACAAAACCTCCCTCCAACTCTGACAACTTACACAACCTAAAACAAAACTGGAGTTCTCCATCTAGCAAACACACAGCAGACGCATCCTTACAAAATATTGTAAAGTGTTCAGTTGGATTCTGAACAGGCTGGCTTAGGAAGTGTTAAAGTGAATGCTATTTTTTTTTCCCCCACAAACGACACATCTTCATCTAACATCTAAACTGGCAGAGTCAGAAATTCCTGTGCTTGAACCCCAGCTTCTCTTTGGCCATGTTTTAAATTCTACACGCCTTAGTTGCTTTATCTACCAAATTAGGATAACTGTCAGAGCCATTCCACAGGTTTATTATTGCTATTTGGTTTTCTTTTTACCCCCAGTCATCTTGTGATTGGACATGTCTGCACATCTGTCGTCACTGTCCTGACCTAATTGCCTGGCATCTCTCTCTTGGACACTGCTTTGAGTCCCTCTTGGTCCTTCTTATTCCTGTCTTGATTTTCTCTGTTTGCCATCCTGTCACACAGCAGCCAAAGTGATTGAGAAAACCAAAACAACCGGGTCAGATTGTGTTACCCTCTCACCTAAAAATCATTCTACGTTTTCCTTGTGCTCGTAGAATAAAACCTAAACGCCTTTCCATGACCAGCAGGGACGTCAGAGATTTGTTTCCTCGTCTACTTCATCTGCTTCGGGCTGTTGCACCCATTGCCTCTTCTGCCTGGAAGGTTTTTTTCACACACCCCCCCCCCCCCCCCCCCGCCGGTTCCGGGTACAGGAGGCTCACTGTCATTTCTCCGGTCCACCTTAAATGATCCCTCTACCTATGGGCCTTCCTTACTCCTTTATCTCAGTTGATCTCCCCTAGCTCTTGCCAATTCAATCACCACGTTCATTTTCTTCATCACAATACAAAGTTATCTTTTGCAAAATTACTCTTTTCTAGTTTGTGTGTTTTTTCCCCCATTGGAATGTAAGTTTCTTGAGGTAAAAAAACCTTGGGTATCTTGTTCATCACACTATCTCCAGGGCCAGTAATCATGTGGAGTCGAGTTGTCATGCACAGTAACAGCTACATTTATTGCGAGCTGGGGTAGGCAGGCCCCCTTCAAGTCCTTTACGTGCACATGTTCTTTGTGTGTGTATGCATTCTAAAATGATGTTTATTTATTTTTGAGAGAGAGCCTGAGCGGGTGAAAAGCAGAGAGAGAGAGAGGCACAGAGGATCTGAAGTGGGCTCTGAGCTGACAGCGGAGAGCTTGATGTGGGGCTGGAACTCACGAACCGTGAGATCATGACCCAAGCTGAAGTCCGACCCTCAACCGACTGAGCCACCCGGGCACGCTCATTTCTTAAAATTGAAATATAATTGATGTCCGATGTCTTATTTCAGGTGTACATAATAGTGAGTTGATATTTCTATACATTACGAAATGATCTCCACAGTAACTCTAGGTTACCATCTGTCAACATACAGTTGTTACAATATTATTGACTGTTTTTCCTATGCTGTACATTACATCCCCATGACATATTTATTTTATAACTGCAAGTTTGTACCTCTTAATCCCACTTCATCTATTTTGCCCTTCCTTCTCATCTTGTCCCCCTCTGGTAGCCTACAGTGTTTTTGTATCTAGGAGTGGGTTTCTTTTTTGTTTTGTTGGTTCATTTGTTTTATTTTTCAGATTCCACATATAAGTGAAACCACACAGTATTTGTCTTTCTTTGTCTGACTTATTTCACTTAGTGCAATACCCTCTATCCATGTCGTCACAATTGGCAAGATTTCATTTTAAAAAAAATTTTTTTTTCAACGTTTATTTATTTTTGGGACAGAGAGAGACACAGCATGAACGGGGGAGGGGCAGAGAGAGAGGGAGACACAGATACAGAAACAGGCTCCAGGCTCTGAGCCATCAGCCCAGAGCCTGACGCGGGGCTCGAACTCACGGACCGCGAGATCGTGACCTGGCTGAAGTCGGACGCTTAACCGACTGCGCCACCCAGGCGCCCCAAGATTTCATTTTTTAATGACTGGATAATATTCTATTATTATTGCTGATAATATTCTATTATATGTTATATACATTCTATTATACATTACATATAATTCTATATAATATATATTATATCCTAGATATTCTATTATATACTATATATATATATCTATATATCTATTATACATAAAGAAGATGTGGGATATATACCTATGTGTGCATATACACATTTATATGTGTATCATTCATCTATCACTTGATATGGAGGTTGCTTCCATACCTTAGCTAATATAAATAATGCTGCAATGAATAGAGGGTGCATATATTTCTTCGAATTGGTGTTTCCACTTTCTTCAGATAAATATTCACTAGTAAACTTGCTGAATCATATGGTAGTTCTATTTTTAATTTTTTTGAGGAACCTCTATATAGTTTTCCATAGTGGCTGCACCAGTTTGCATTCCCATCAACAGTGTATGAAGGTTTTCTTTTCTCCAATCCTGGCCAGGATGTTATTTTTGTCTTTTTGGTAATAGCCATATATACACTGTGTATGGTATGAGGTGATACTCCATTGCAGTTTTGATATACATTTCCCTGATTAGTGATGTTTAACACACTTTCATGTACCTTTTGGCCATCTGTATGTCTTCTTTGGAAAAACGTTTGTAAGTTTTCAGCCCATTTTTAAAATCAGGTCGGTTTTTTGAAATTAAATTATGTAAGTTCTTTACATATTTTGGGTAGTAACCAAAATTGAATGTTTGATTTGCAGTGAACTTTTCCCACTCAGTGGGTTGCATTTTCATTTTGGTTATGGCTTACTTCACTTTACAAAAGCTTTTTATTTTCATGTAATCTCATTTATTTTAATTTTTTGGTGTCCTTGCCTGAAAATAGTTGGCCCAAAAAATATTTTACAAACAGATCGATGTCAAAAAGAATACTGCTTATATTTTCTTCCATGATTTTTATGGTTTTAGGTCTTACGTAAAGTCAAGTCTTTAATACATTTTGAATTTGTTTTTTGTATGTGGTGTGAGTAAATGGCCCAGTTTGATGTTTTGCATGTAGCTGTCCAGTTTCCTCAACATCATTCATTGAAGAGGCTGTTTTCCCCCATTTTATCTTCTTGCCTTGTTTGTCATAGACTAGTTGACCATGTATGTGTTGGTTAATTTCTAAGCTCTCTCTTGTGTTCCATTGATCAATATGTTTGTTTTTATGCCAGTACTATAGTTTTGATTACTATAGCTTTGTAATATGGTTTGATATCATGGAGTGTGATACTTCTAGCTTTGTTCTTTCTCAAGATTTCTTTGGCTGTTTGGGGTCTTTTGTGGTCTGTATGAATTTTAGAAATATTTATTCTAGTTTTGTGAAAAATGCCATGGATATTTTGATGGGTATTGAATTGAATCCATAGATTTTTTGGGTAGTATGAACATTTTAACAATATTAAGTCTTAATAGGGTACCTGGGTGGTTCAGTCAGTTGAGCGTCCACGTTTGGCTCAGGTCATGATCTTATAGTTCATGAGTGTGAGCCCCACATCTGGCTTGCTGTTGTCAGTGCCAAAGCTGTCCTCGCAGAGAGCCTGCTTTGGATCTTCTGTCCCCTTCCCTCTTCATCCCTCCCTTGCTTGTGCTCACACTTGCTCTCTCTCTCAAAAATAAATAAACATAAAAAAAAACCCCAATATTAACTCTTCCAATCTATGAACATACTATGTTTGTTCATTTATTTGTGTCATCTTTAATTTCTTTCATAATATATTATAATTTTCAGAGTACTGATATCTCCTTTCCTTGGTAAAATTTATTCCTAGATACTCCATTTTTTGATGCAATTATAAATAGGATTATTTTTTAAATTTCTATTTCTCATAGTTCTTTATTAGTATATGGAAATGTCACAGATTGCTGTATGTTAATTCTGTATCCTGCAACTTTACTAAATTCACCTATTAGTTCTAATAGTTTTTGGTGGCGTTTTTAGGGTTTTCTATATGTAGCATCATGTTGTCTGCAAATGGCAATAGTTTTACTTCATTCTTTCCAATCTGGATGCTTTCATTTCTTTTTCTTGCCCAAATACCAAATACCATTTTGAATAAAAGTGATGAGAGTGGGCTTCCTTGTCTTGTTCCTGATCTCAGAGGAAAAGCTTTCTCAAAAGTTTTTCACCATTGAGTTTGATGTTAGCTGTGGGCCTGTCATATATGGCCTTTATTATTTTGCAGTATATTCTCTCTAAACCCATTGTGTTGACTTTTTATCACAAACGATTGTTAGATTTTGTCAATGCTTTTTCTGCATCTATTGAAATATGATTTTTATTCTTCATTTTGTTAATGTAATGTATCATATTGATTGAGTTATGAATATTGAACCAGTTGCATCCCTGGAATAAATCCCTCTTGATCATTGGTGTATATCCTTCCAACACATTACTGGATTTGGTTTGGTAATGTTTTGTTGAGGGTTTTACATTTATGTTATGTTTAGGGATACTGGCCTGTAATTTTGTTTTTCTCTGGTATCTTTGTGGTTTTGATATCAGGGTAATGCTGGCTTTGTAAAATGAATTTGGAAGCATTTCTTCCTCTTTAATTTCTTGAAATAATTTGTGAAAGATAATTACTATCTTCTTTAAGTTCGGTAGAATTCACCTATGAAGCCATCTGGTCCTAGACTCTGCTTTTTGAAAGTTTTAAAATTACTAATTCAATTTCATCACTTGTAATCAGCTTA